AAAAACAAAGCATTTCGAATTTGGGCCAACTCTTGATAAATATAAAAAATGGCTACAGGAGAAGCATCCCGAAATATTTGACAAACTGTATTCTGAATGTGCTTATTATCAGATTTTAAATCTTTCATTCGATTACATAGAATTTTTCTTTGACTGTCATGTTTAAATTTTGTAACTAAAATGGGCGAACAGTTGGCTAAAACATCATTGGAAGATCAAAAACTGAATAATGATGCAGAAGATAAAAAGAAAGCTAAAGGTTAGAACAAGCTATAAATTTGTATAGTACATGACATTATCTTTGTGTGTTATTGAGAATTCAATATCTGCTATCTTAATAATTATTAGAAGCAGCAAAAATAGAAAGAGAATTGCAGAAAAAGATGGTAAGATGTTGACTTTGATGATTTAATGATACTTAGATCAGTAATTTAAAATAATGCCTAATCTATACTGTCTTTTATTATTAGGAATCTAAAGTAATTATTACGCGTATTGCAAGAAACAAACGAAAATGTGTCACAAATGTATTTGGTTTAGAAAATTTTGGTAAATTGAAAATATATTTTGGCATTTGTTATTTTTTGATCCATTTTTATAACTATCGGTAATTCATTTGTTGATATTGAAAAAAGCAGCTAAATCATTTGCAACAAAGTTCGCTTGTGGTTTATCAGTTGTTAAGAATAATCAAAGAAATATTGAAATTGTAGTGCAAGGAGATGTTTCAGATGATTTATTTGTTTTTATATTAGAGACATGGTCAGATGTATGTATTAAAAATTTGCTTTTAATGTTGAAGTAATAATAAAATAAAACAAAATAATAGGTATTTTTTTAAAAAAAACGATTTATCTAATGTAGGTACCAGAGGATAATATTGAACTCACTGTATTGGCTATTCAACAGTTGTTGAAGCTAGTCGCGATAGTGATTTATTATATTAGGATTATATTGATCAATATAATACTCGATCTAATAATCATTTTTCAAAGGTTTTTCCGCAGGTTTTATATATTGATATTGATATTCATCACAGCAATAGTGTACAAGAAGCATTTTACGAAACAGATCAAGAAGCAGCAGTAGAGTTCTTAAAGAAAGAGCATTCAAAATGCTTAGACACTTGTGGACTACAATGAAATATGATACAGAAAAAAACATGTATCAAAAATTCAAGTGCAGATGAGAAAATGTATCAAAGTAACGACAGACCAGAATCAGCTGGTAATTATCAAATTTTTTTAAAAATTTTATTATTTATTATAAAA